GGTGTTCGGTTTGGAGTATAGTGGAGATGAGGGATGGAGGGGTGTTGTTGCTGGTTTGGGCCGTGGGTGAGGAAGGTGGGGGTAAGGGAGTGAGGGTAATTTTCTTCTTATTCATAAGGAATGAATAAGTGTTCAAGTAGCCATCATGCTGCACTTTGTTGTCGAACAACCAAGGACGTCCCAAAAGGACGTGGCATGCGTCCATGGGAATGATATCGCACCAAATGTCATCCTTATAAGTCTTGCCGATGCTCAGCGAGATCAAGCACCTCTTGTCAACACGTAAGCCCTTGCCTTGGTTTAGCCATTGAATAGTATAAGGCTTGGGATGAGGGGATACCTTCAAATGTAGCTTTTCCACCACCATTTTGGAGGCCACGTTAGAGCAGCTCCCGCTATCGATGATTAATGAACACACCTTCTTATGAATGGTACAACGGGTATGAAAGATGTTCTCCCGTTGTAGTTGCTCTTCGGGGCATGAGATGGCACTTAAGGTCCTTCGAATGACCAAAAGTTCTCCTTCATCAGGGCCAACGCATTCTTCCTCTTCTTCCTCGGTTATCTCTTCATCCCATATGGGATTATATTCTTCATCTTCATATTCCACCAAGGCCATTATCTTCTTGTTTGGACACTCATTGGCATAGTGACCAGTCCCTTGGCATCGGTAACACACGAGGGCTCTTTTGTTGGTTGAAGGGGCTGTTTTAGGTGGGAGAGCAGTGGGGTTTGGTTTGAAAGGAGTTTGGGGTTTGGGTGCTTGGCCATGGGCAGTAGGAGGGGGTTTGGTGGGGGTGTAAGTGGGACGTGAGAAAGGGGTAGAGTTTCTTGATAGAATGGCTTTGGATTTCTTCATTTGTGACTCAACCTTGAGAGCAACCTTAGTAAGTTCTTCAAATGTAGTGTAGCCTTGCAGCTCCACCGTATTGGCTATTTGGAGATTTAGGCCAAAAAGGTACCTTACAAAGATTTGCTCTTCGTTCCCTTGCAAGTCACACTTGAGTAGGAGTTCCTCAAACTCCCGGGTGTCGTCTTCCACGGATTTTGTACCTTTCCTAAGCGTTTGAATCTTAGCAAAGTTCTCTCGGGAATATTCAGTGTGTAGGAACTTCTTCTTCAAGAGACTCCTCATCTTTTGCCATGAGTCGACGGGAGGCTTCTCACTTCGAATCCGTTTGGTGCAGGTGTTCGTCCACCAAGTGGAGGCGTACTTGCGGAATTTTAAGGCCACAATCTTGACCTTCTTGTAGTCGGAGACTTCTTTGAAATCAAAGACTCGTTCCACTGTCTCTAACCACTCAAGAAATTCATCCGGGTCATTCTTCCCTTCAAAGATTGGAATATCAACTTTGAAGTCAGAATGGGACTTTTCATGAGCCCAAGCTCTCATGGTGTTACTAGAGCTAGCTTCCTCTTCATCTTCACTATCTTGCAACATGGACATCTTTTGCTTCGTGAGCTTATGTAACACTCCAACCCGCATAACCCAAATAAATAGATTAGCGAACCGGGTTGCTACTAAATTGGTAACCACATACAATTTTTTTCAATCAATAAAAATATTTAGTTTAAAACTAAAACAATTCAAACCATTTAATTTACATATCAGAGTTTATACAAACAGTGCGGAAGCCTTATAATTAAATCAAACATTATTAAGTCCCTTCATCCATACATCTCCTTCGTCGTGCTGCCCTCCAGGATGGATTCCAAAGTCAGTCCCTCCACGATTACCTACGTGTAACAAGGGGAAAAAGAGGCTACACGCTCAGCAACGAAGCTGAGTGAGAAATATCTAACAGTTCGAACATACACATATGCGAATCCACTAATTCATAACCATAACATGATATCATGCACATAGATTTATATGTCATGCGGCTCACATAAACAATTCATCATATAATTTACCAAGCACCTGCCCTTTCCATTCCTATCGAAACGAAGCGTCTCTTGCAGTGGTGGATCACCATTCATCTGTACTTGAATTCTACACATAGACTAATGACTTACTACTTTTCTGGGAGTCATGATTGTTCCCACTGGATCAGCGGATCATGCTCAACAACCAAGGGAGTTCTCACGGTTGGTGGATCACCAAGCCCTGTTCCTATAACCTATACTAGTCTAAGGACTATAACTTTACTGTATGGGAGACATGAGGGTTCCCACTGGATCACCGGGTCATGCTCAACTAACGAAGGAGTTCTCCGTTGGGTGGGTGGAATCCCCACCTGATAGATCACCGTTGGGTGGGTGGAATCCCCACCTAACGGGGTACCGTCCATACGGTACCTGGGTACCGGTCCTACGGTACCCGGGGTACCGTCCGAACCACTTGGATTCTTCCGGTAGGGCTGTCACGGTAGCCGACTACCGACCAGGCGGTAGGGCCTACTGTCCGTCTGGTACCTAGGTAGACAAGGTGTGACAGTAGCTAGGTACCGTCCTCGCAGTATTGCTTACCGTCTAACACCACCAATTCCATATTCATACCTGTTTCGTTTTTCCAATGTCAAACAAACAGCAATTTCATACTCAACAACTCCAATAAATTCATCATAACATTCCAAACATTATCAAACTTGTCGATCAAGGCCTAAGTCATGCATACTACCCTTTCCGATTCAACGACAACAATTCCCAAAACCATAACCAACAATTTCATAGACAAATCACATAGATCAACCATGATAATAATTATGAACGGAATTTCAAACAGATATGCATATCCTAGTGTTAGATGTCCACGTACTCACCTCGTTTGTTCAATTCGAATTCAAGAAAGCATCGTCTAATCACCGTTGACAGAGTACGTGCACTGCCGCTGCCCAATTC